GCGCTCAACCGCTGCTCCACCGGGGAGGCCCCTCATTGCCTTTTGATAAGCTGCTTTCCTAGTTTGAAACATTCTCACCCCCTTCTTATGACAAATCCCTACTTACTGTTACCTCGGTTAAAATACTGTCTCCTCAAGACTCCTTCCATGATCCTTCTAGAGGATACTGTGTAAAACCCTCCATTAACCATTGCATTCGAGAATATCTAGTGCGACTTTAAATAAGTAGCTTGTAATACTTATTTACTGGATGTTTCCCTGCTGCTATGTGGTGAGCTCATTCATAATCTCTTTCTTCATTCTCTCTACTATACACACAGAGTGAATGATTGATATACTCTAACTCTTATGAGTTAAAACATGGAGGGATTAAGCAATTTTTATTTCAGAGCAGTAAGTAATGGAGATCTGGCATGTTGAAAAATGGACACTATTTCCATTATAGAAATGTTAACCTGAAATCATTTTCTCATAATCTACATGTGGTTATAGTTTTTTCCTTTTCAGTTTTTTGTCACAGTTAATACATATTAAATCTTAAAACAAACAGTCTGGGATTACCTTGTCATTGAATATTGTATAAATAAAGCAAACTAACATGGGGTTGCCAGATTTCCATAGAAAGGGATTATCAATGACTCAGATAGGATTGTCAACCACAGTGCCTAAGGTGAGAGTGAATTGCTTGGTCCTCAGATTTTTTTTTTAAAGATTTATTTTATTTATGCATACAAGAACTGGGGTATAGGCCAGAGGTGTGGGGGTCGGGACGATCCACCAGAGACAGAGTGGGAAACAACAGGCAGACTGACAAAATGCACTGCTGAGGGTAGCAGCGGGTGAGTCAGGAGAGGTCTGCTGCGCCATGTGGGTAGCTCCCTGGCCAGGGATCGAACTCGTGCTGCAGTGGCTGCAGATTGCTTCATAGGTTGCATCTTAACCCCTTGCGCCACCAGAGAGGCCCCCAGTCCTCAGATTTTTATTTCAGGATAGGAAGCAGGTGAAAGAATAAAAATACCCATTCTGATATTCCGTGATTAAGGAAATTACAAAGCATTCTCATGTCTTTGCCTTCATTGCCTTTCCTTATAGTTACTGAAAGTCTCTTTGGCAGAGATGTTATTATTAAAAGCCAGAAAATAGCACCAAATTGTGAGAAGAGAAAGTTCTTCACAAATTTTTCAAGTACCTAATTGTAACTGGAACTTGCTTTTCAAAGAGCTCAGTGAATACAGTATGGGGAATGTATTTTAGAGGATGATTTAATGTAATGAAAATTTCTTTCAGTATATCATGCATAAAGATTTCTATTCTATGCTCATACTACATATATGCAAACTGCTATTGGGTAGTTTACCACTGTGAAGGCTAATATGCAATCCTAAGCAGCCTTTTGCTGAACCTGTGGATTCTGAGGGGAGTTTACTTTCATGAAAAACAAACAGGAAAGCTTATAATGAAGAAGGAGTATCCCTCTTGCCTCTGGGAAGATAAGGGTCACCTGAGACTGTGACTGTGTGTGTGTCAGGTTTCCTAGGAGAGAACAATGACCTGTAGCAACCCCTCCACTTTCTGCTTAAGGACTTAGCTGTCAACAACTTCCTTTTCCACACTCCAGCTTCAAAGAAAATAAGCAAAACTCCTTCATATCAAATTGTGCCTTCACCTCCCAAAGATCCATAGCAGCAAATCATCAAATCTAAGTATCCTTTTAGTTAACTGTGATTTTTAAAAATCATGTCAGCTCTGCACTAAATCCTAACTATATAAAACCAAAATAAAAACAAAAAAAAAAAAACAGTCACTGTGTGCTTTGATTTTGTAGAAAATTGTTAACCGGGCCTCCCAGGTGGTGCAGCAGGTTGAGCGCCGTGCTGCAAAGCTATCCGCAGCCTCTGCAGCGCAGGTTCAATTCCAGACTGGCCATGGAGAAACCCACATGGTGTGGCAGACCTCTCCTGCTGCCCGCTGCTCCCCTCAGCAGTATACTTTGGTCCTTCTGCCTGTTCTGCTCCCCGATCCGATCTGTCTCTGGTAAATTCTCTCACCCTCCCACACTTCTGGCCTGTACCCCAATGCTTGTATAAATAAATAAATAAATCTTTTAAAAAAACTTTAAAAAAAAGAAAATTGGTAACAAATGAAGATTATCTGTAAAAAGGTGTCTAATACGGTAATAGATTCAAATTGAAAGCACCTACTGAATGAAGTTTAAGATTAGATGTATAGTCTACTTCCCTCCGCTACTCCGCTGACAGTCAAACTTCTTAGTAAGACTGAATCACTGTTGAAATAACTACAGACTCAAAGACTTATCCTTTATTCATTCTGACCACTTGGACTGCTCTAAGACACATATGGTCCTGTGTCTTCAAGAGTCAAGGTGAAGAATTCAAAGTATTAACAGATGTCTATGACCTACAAGACACTGAATTTTTGAAAAGAGAAGGGCTCATTGGCAAAAATTCTCATTAAAAACATTTATGCACACAATTTTAGAAAATCTGGGTAAGCAACTAAAGAAAAAAAAAGAAAGGAGTTTTTACTGGCATTAAGTGTCTATTTGATGGAATCTTTGGCTTCCACATTCTCTATGGGTCCTCACACAATTCCCATTGCTTCTCCAACCCCCATTACACTCCAGAAATCTGTCTTTTCCCTTCCATTCCAATGCCACTGTCTTGTGTGTAGTACACATTGGTTTTTCCCTGGGATTTTCCAGTGACTTCTAAATTGAGCTCTCTGAATACCATTTCATGGGAGGGATGCCCCCATGATTAATTTCAGTGCCATATTTTATGACAGATATGTGGACATGGAACTTTGAGAACAGACTCTTAGGAGAGGCAATAATCTGTGTTTTGATCTGAAAAACACTAGGAGAGGTCCTGCTCCTAAAATAACTGTGGTATGAAAGTACGAAGATATTCTACTGCTACTAATATTTGTAGGTATTTTTAAAATTTTTTTAAAGATTTATTTATTTATACAAGAACCGGGGTACAGGTCAGATGTGCGGGAGGGTGAGAGGATTCACCAGAGACAGAGTGGGTAACAGAACAGGCAGACTGACTGAAACACAATGCTGAGGGGAGCAGTGGGCGAGACAGGAGAGGTCTGCTTACCATGTGGGTATCTCCACGGCCGGCGAGGATCGAACAGGCACTGCAGAGGTTGTGGACAGCGTCACAGCGCTGCGCTCAACCGCCTGCGCCACCAGGGAGGCCCAATATTTGTAGGTTTTATCTTATTTAAGATATGGTCTCAATTTTTCACTCAATCCATTCTCATATGATTTCCATGTTTATATTTGAAAAAAACTAAAGCACAGAGAGATTAAAGAACTTGCTTGCGAACACACAGCCGCTCTCTGTAAAAGTCAGAACTCAACCCAGGTACCATGGGCCCAGACACCATGCTCTCAATCATTACAACTAAAAGACAGGGACCATATTTTACTCGTTGGTGTTTGGTTCACTGCTGGGCATGTGAAAGGGGGTCTGACAAATACTGCTGAAAAGGTGAGCTGGGGCCTCCCCAATGGTGCAGCGGTTGAGCGCTGGGTTGAGAAGCTGTCCGCAGCCTCTGCAGCACCGGTTCGCTCCCCAGCCACCAGACGAGGGTCCCACATGGCGCGCAGACCTCTCCTGCCACCCGCTGCTCCCCTCAGCAGTGTATTTCGTCAGTCTGCCTGTTCTGTTCTCTGCTCTGGCTCTGGTGGGTTTTCTCACCCTCCTGCACTTCTGACTGTACCCAGTGCTTGTATAAATGAATAAATAAATCTTTAAAAAAAAAAAAAGTGAGCTGGAAGGAAAGGGTGCTCACATTCTAAAGGGAGAACCAAATAAATAGTTCAAAACTGTCAGGAGCGGACAAGGCACGGCGGGGACAAAGAATAGGTTTTGGCCCACTTGCCCTTCTCCATTCTAGGCTTTCTGATCACAACAGGGAGACATTCCTTAAATGCAGACCTGATCATGCCATTCTCCAAATCTCACTGCTAAGAACTCGGAAATTGGGAAACTTTATTGAAGTATTTCTAAAACATTTACAAGAAATATCCTTCTATAATCACTGCCAGATGAAAGTAACTACACCCACTTCTGGCCTTGGCACAAAGTCCAAAGAGCAACCACAACTCTCAGTTCCTATACACTGCTTCTCACCATTCTAGCAGCTTAATCTACCATGCATCTCTGCTGTCACATATATATAATATTTATAACTACTAATATATGCAGCTATTACATGACAGACTTTACTCCTATCGTGGTGTTTAACCCCATTGCCCTACATATGCATTCTTTCTGGATCTCTTATGATGCAGATTCAAATGCATAAGCTTGATACACACAGGGCAGCAAGGGATCTAGTCTTATGACACATAAATCCCTCTTTAAGTCAACCCTTGACCTGCCAGCTCCTCCTTCTTCTGCAGACAGCACCATTATTTGAAACTACAGGAACAGCAAGTTTTTCTCCACCTCCTGGACTTTAAAAACTAGGCCCTTACCTATAAGTTAAGAGACTGGGGACTGAACTTAAGGAGACAAACCAATCCTTCCAAAGCTCTCTTAGGTGTGATTTTATTTGTCTTTTCCCAACTCTCTTCCTACTACAGTGTGTTGATACTCAGTAATCCTTCCCCGGCTTGTTACTCTGCTTACATTTGTTTTTCATGGTTTTCTCCCCTACTAGCCTGTGCTCTGCCTGGGGACGGGTCCTTGTTTTAGGCCTTTAACATCTAAGCAGATGCCTGCCACCCAGGTAAATCTGTCTGGAGGAAAATGAACTCATAACAAGTAATCCGATCAATCTTTCAAGATGAGAATGCAAGAGAGCTGACTATGAAAGAGAAATAAAACAGAAGTTGAAATATCTGCACACATCCCCAGAATCGATTTTCTTTGCTTAAGAGAACTTCAGCTTTGGTACAGGGCACTTGATCCCAATCGCACAAGAAGTTAAGAGACATCGGGGCTGGTGAAGAAGTCACTCACCAGCTAGTGGAAGGCGGGTGTCTGTTCTCTAGCGTTTTGGTCCAGGGCTTGTACCAGCTTATCTGCTCCGCGGCTTTGCCCCAGAACCTCTCTGGGTCGGCCACTGAGGCGGCGAAGACGGTCTTGTACTCGCCGGTCCCGCCACCTGCAGAGGACAGCGCCCGGCAGCCCCGGCCCCCGAGGGCGCCCCGCGGGATGGGGGCCAAGTAAGCCCTCCGGGCCGGGCCGGCTCCGCGGGCCGGATTGGAGCCAGGCAGGGAACCCCCGAGTCCGCCAGCGCCGGTGACTTTACGACATTGCAGCCAAGAGGGCTTCATCGCCACTGGCTATGCCTGCAGTTTGCGCTGCCTGCAGTCCCCGAATGCACTTCTTAAACCACAACTGGGGCGCCCACGACTTGCGGGGGGCCGGAGGGGAGCAGGCAAGAGGCGGGGAAATTGTCCCGGTAGAGCCAGCCGTCCAAGGGTTTGGAAATAACGTTACAGTCGCAGGGAAAAACCGACCTGGAGTCCTGTGAGACGCAACAGGCTGGAGTTAGTGCCCGGACAGGGGAGGCAAAGGGTCACCGGGTCATTTTGGAAGGAGGGTGTGACGGTGCGCAAGGAACCCAACCCCCCATGAGTTTCCGACCCCGGGGCTATCGCAGGAAAAGCGCCCTCGAGCTGCAGAACGCCCTCCTTTCTGGACTAGTGCCCTAGGGAGAGGCCAAGGAACCCAACTCGTCTGTTTTCAAGCAAGCAAGTTTTGCTCAACTCCAGATTTAATCTTCGGAGCGCGAGTCTGAGGAGGCCGCAGGATCTGCGGTCTGCAGCGGAAAATAGAAACGCTGGGCTTTTGTGTAAGGCCCAGGATGTGTTATTTTTGTCTGTTTACTTTTAAACTCAGCTCAATTTCTGTTGTTAAAAATATAGAGCAGCTCCGGGCAGAGATTGCTCCAGGATTTCCGAATAGCTGAGAGGGTGGGAGGAGTTGAAGGAGGCGGTGCCTGTTAGATTGGGGTGCTTTTTGGGGGTGATTGACAAGACACTGGGGAAAGTAACCCAACTGGGATAAAGATTCACCTGCTGACTATCTGCACGCCCACAGGATCTAGAAAAAAGCAGAATGGACTTGTTGCATTTCCTTCCTTTCAGTTTGTTCGTTGGTGTCTCTGTGGCTTTTTCTCTGATTAAAAAAAAAAAGCAAAAGAGCTAATAAGAATGAAATCAAATACAAGAAAGCTGAGAAAAATTAAGAGAAAAGTTGATATAAATTTCTGTCTGTTCTGACATCCTGTAGGTCCCTTCACTGTTTATCATGCTTTAGTAAAAGTCAAAAGCAAGTGTTTATCTTAGTGTTAGGTCAAACACATCCTGTTTTGGTGTGACAATATTTGCTACTTAAATATAAAGATGTATATTTCCTAATCTAAGGTGAAATAGTGGAATGCACTTGACTCTAGAAAAAACTAAACTTGAAAAGCTGTGAACAGATTGTTCAAGGAAAAGAATATTGTGGAGGTAAAGATTAAGCAGAAAAAAGATATAAGCCTAATGCAAAACAAAGTTTCTTTAAATAACCACATCAACTATTCCCTTTCAACTGAGAAACAAAGCAGTAGGCTTTTCCCTGTCACCAGCAGCTACTTCAGTCCTTCTAAAGGCTTCAAATTAAATGATTTGTGACAAATGACAAAAGAAACAAGTCACCACCTGAATCCGGAGAAAGATACAAAGCCATTTCAATTTCTGGTCTCCTCCTATAGTCTGTCCAATAGCTTAATGTTTCTCTCTGTTATACAAGATCCCCCAAACCCAAGTTTTCCCTTATTGTGTTTAGTGAAGTCCAATTAAATCTTTTGCTTAATAGGGCCTCACCTGGTGGAGCAGCGGTTGAGCGCTGGGCTACGAAGCTGCCCGCAGCCTCTGCAGCGCTGGTTCGATCCCAGGCCACCATCAAAGGTCCCACATGGTGTGACAGACCTCTCCTGCTGCGCCCACTGCTCCCCTCAGCAGTGTATTTCATCAGTCTGCCTGTTCTGTTCCCTCCTCTGGTAAATTCTCTCACCCTCCCGTGCTTCCGACTGTACCCCAGTTCTTGTAAAAATAAATAAATAAATCTTTAAAAAAAGAAAGAATAAATAAATCATTTGCTTAACATATATGTGAGCACCTATGCTGAGCAGGGTGTGGTTTGTTGGGGAAGAGATGAAGGAAGGAAGCAGACAGTAATTAGTACCTACTGTGTGAGGACACTTCTGAATATGCTAACTCCTGCGATTGCAAAAAAGAAGGCCTGAAGAGTGTGATCCTCTACCTCTAAGCCATCTGCCATGTTGTAAACCCACGGAATCTCAATTTTAAAAAGTGAAGCGGAAACTATAACCCCGTTTATAAACACAATGTCGGTTAACTTGCTGGAGGTCATGCAGTTATCAAACAAAAGAGTCAGAATTCATCTTTGTTGATTCTCAAAATCTGGCAGCCAGTGCACCTTGAGTTAGAGGTGTGCCAGGATAATGGTGGTCACATTCTGGCACTGGAGGGCTCAAAGACAGTCTGTTTCAGCACTGACATTTACCCCAGCACATTCACACATTTTATCATTTTCTCTCTGTGCCACCTGAAAAAGGTGGGGAATCTGACTATAAGCCTGTTGATTTTCACACCAGGCTGATTATTTTCCTATTTAAAAAAATCACAGATTTTAGACTTCCAACAAAATATGACAAATTCAGTACCCATATTTATTCCTCATCTCCTAGAAACTGGGCTGAAAGAAAATCAAAGGGGTGGTGGTGCTAAAATCCTATAAGGATAAAGAAGAGGAGGAGAAACCAAATGAGGGAAAAATGGATTGGGTTCATAGTAATGACTTAAGAGAGGGATGGGAGCTGGATTTTACTGCATTTGGAAGAGAAAAACTATTTATCAATAATTTCCTTTTTACATTTTTACAGTAAGAAATATGCATTTAAATTAAAAGTTTATGGCTTATAATATTTGAAAGAGAAAATGTCAGCAAATTGGAAGATTTCAATTTTGGAGATGCTGAGCTTCTCTAAAATTTCAGAAGGAAGATTAAGAACTTGAAAACAAAAGGACATTAAAATACCTTATGAGACCAAGTTAGATGCCCACATCTGGATGAATCCACTCCCTGCACCCATCACTAAACAAAACAGATTATTAATGTGAGCTTCATTTCAAGTCAAGCAAAGTCAAGCAAGGAGTCTGAGAGATGGATGGCTCAGTCCTGTGGAGGTGAGCTGTAAGGTACAGAAGAGTAGGCATGGGCAGCAAGATAGACACTATTTAGAGCCAGATAGGAAGTTGCAAAATGGTGTGAATTGCAAGGTAGGGCCTGATAGTAGATCCTTGGCCTTTAAAAACATGTTGGTTGATCACTAAGCAAGTGAAAAGCTGAAAATATTAGCCCATTGACTCTCAGGGTGAATCCTACCACTGCCACTTATTAGGTGCAAAAACTTGGAATGTTAACTAACTTCCTTACACTATGATTTCCTCATCTATGATTTGAGGCTAATTCTATCCTCACATATGTAAATGACTTAGCTTCAGGGCAGTAGTGAATAGAGCTAATTTGGGACAACAAAGCTTGTGAATATCCAATCCAAATATCCACCTCCAAAAAACTCCAGCTTCATTAACATACTTGAAATTTTACAATCTGAAAATTTAAAAAACTATCATTTTAATTTAAGCCTACCTGAACATTCTTTATTATTTTCAAAAACTAAAAATATATCTTAGTTAATTTGTGGATAGGATCATCACAGTCTTTTCAATGTTTAAAACCTCTAAAACTCCAGTTGTTTGAAAAATAAATATATAATAAATAGAATAAAATATTTCACATAAAGTATGTCAATAAATGCTCTATATTAATATGCTATTTAAGATGACATTTTAACACCTTAAGCAAAGATTTAATTGATCAGATTATTGGAGAGAACATTTTCAGGATGGAAAAAAGTGTGATAATGGAGAGGGTTCAGAAAAAGTAAAGTATAAAGAATCAAAAGATGTGGAAGGCTATTCAAGAAAGATAAAACAGGGCCTCCCCAGTGGCGCAGCAGTTGAGCGCTGGGTTGCAAAGCTGCCCGCAGCCTCTGCAGCGCCGGTTCCATCCCCGGCTGCTCCCTGGCCACCTGCCACCTGAAGAGGGTCCCACATGGCAGGCAGACCTTTCCTGCTGCCTGTTGCTCCCCTCAGCAGTGTACTCGTCCTTCTGCCTGCTCTGCTCCCCGCTCTGGCTCTGGTGAATTCTCTCACCCTCCCGCGCTTCTGACTATACCCAGTGCTTGTATAAATAAATAAATCTTAAAAAAAAAAAAAAAGAAAATAGTTAAAAAAAAAAGATAAAACATTGGCAAAATTTGGGCAATATTCCTTTCTCACTAGAAGTGTTATATCTAATTATCAATAATGGTAGTAATTTGTCTGCAAGCATATCTCATATTAGTTTTAATTTTATAGTTGTTATTTTTATTACCAATCTTAAGATTTTGATGGTTGTTTACTTGGCTGTAATGGAAATCTGTCCTTAAGGTTTATGGAGTTTATTGTAGGAAATTGGATTAAATGCATTCAAATTTAATTTGCTGATTTTTTTTACAATTTCTTTACAATAGAATTAACTGAATATCTACATCAGAGTCTCATGGAACTTAGAATAAATTAATTAATATCAATTATGATATTTGAATCGGAAGAGATTGAATGTAACAGAAATAATCATATTGAGACACAGGGCAAGCTAGAAATTAGGCAGTTTTAGGGACAGTGCAGGAGGGGACCTCTGAAGAATTTAGGGAGGCTTCAGAGATAGGACAACCAAGGGAAAGTAACCCATTCCACTAGGAAAAACAAACATCCCAGGACCAAGGACAACTTTGTTAATGCTAGTCCTGGTTTCCTTCAGGTGGTAAAGGGAGGCGGAGATTGGAGAAATGGAGAGTCGTTTAATTTATGGACACATTAGAAGGGCAGCTGTTTAACTTCAATGCAGGGATGTCCATCCAGAGGACTGGGCCATAAATTTAAAGATGCAACAAATGGGTAAAGAGAAAGCTGTTAGATAAGGAATGTGAAGATCCCCCACTCAATAGCAAATTAAGTGAGACAGCCGAGAACTAACCAATCACAAAGAGACTGGTGGAGCTTTAGAATAATGAGGGAAAAAAGGTATATATTCCCTAAGATACAACTCCACTTTGGCTTCCTTGCCCCTCCCAGGCCTGGTTCCCTGGCCTGGGAGTCCCACTTTATTTCTGCTCTTTTTCTCCTCAATAAACTTTTTCTTTCTATAAACAAACTGCCTCTTCTCGCTTGCTTGCCTGAGTGTCTGCGAAGTTACTGCTGTGGCTTCGTGAGACACCAACCCGTGGGGGTCTAGTGGCTGGGGCTCAGCGCTGCCCTGCAGCTTGGGATCTGTTCCTGGCTGGGAGACTAGGCCTGACAATTCCGGTATCAATATAAGTAATATAATTATGGTATCAGATGAATCTGTGAATTTAAGCCAAATCTTCTAAATCTCTATAGATGATTAGCAGAATTCAGTCATTTGTACACCAATATATCGGTATTCTTTTCTCTTTCAG